TGTTAGCTATAATGAAAGGCAATCAGAGTTGAAGCCATTATTATGTGTTTTATTGACTTGCCAGTTTTTCCACCCCCATCTCCAAGTGCACACAAAACACTGAAGATAAATCACATCTTCTATTTGGAGGGAAGAAAAGGAAATTTTCCCTTTCTAACAAAGCTGAGAGAGCAGATATGAGTAACTAGTTAATTGATAAAAAAAAATCTTTAAACATTTGAGCATATTTAGAGAATAGAGACTCATAGTATATTTTTTTAATTCTTGGGGGATACTATTTTGGTAAGCTTTCTAGGGGTTAGAGAGGTAATAATATTATTTAGTAGCTCTCTATATGCAATACATGTGCCCTTGATGCTTGGCAAAAAAAAAAAAATAGGCAATATACTTAGAGTAAATGCTTATTACTTTGCCTATTCAACGCCTCACTTTTAACACAGTTAATGTGTCCTTAGTCTGAAAATCACTAATGCTTCCTTCACTTTAAGACAATTTTCCCTTTCTACAGAATCCACTTTGGCCCATGATTATAATGTAAAAATAAACTGAAGTTAGGCTCTATGCGTAGCCATTAAAGAACTTTCTGAACTAAAACCAAATGTGCTTATCCAGCCACCTTCACAGCTGCTGCCACAACTTGTAACTCTTTCTAATGTCTTCATAGTGAAATAGTATGGATTAAGGGTGTTACCAGCACTTACTCCATGGGAGATAAGCCTACCATCTCACTAAGTACAGGAAAGAAAGGAACTACTGCCCATCTCCTCGTCCATCTGAAGTCTAGGTTGTGCTCTGCCAGCTAAACTGATTCATCTTAGAATTACAGCAGAGCCTTTTTTGAACTGAGTAGCCTATCCTCTGTATTCTATCGAATATTGAACAAAGGTAAGAATCCTCCTCTCTTCTACATCATGCTTCCTCTTAGCATAAACACTGTAAAAATAAGAACTGAACCTTTATTATACATCCTTATTATACATCCACCACAACCTCCATCAAAGTACAAACATAGTGAATGTTCACGAAAGTGACTGACTGGAAATGAAGGAGTTTCATTAACCATACACGAAATGATCTTAAACACCCACTTCACATAACATGTTAAGAAGTCACCTGTATTGTTTGTTTAGAGACAGTCACCCTTTTCATCTTCAGACAATAAAAATCTACTGTCTCTCTCCAGTATTTTTTTCCATGTTTGTAAAATACTTTAGCTCTTTCCTGCAAGCTATTAATGTAGTTTCCCAGTATCAACCTAGGTACTTTTTGAACTATCAAGAAGCTGAAAGTCAACTGATGAATACATGCCTGGCACCATATTACTATTTTTTAAGGTCACTCCCTCACACAACCGCAACCATCTGTGAGCCCCTCCAAACTATCAATCTACCAATGCCGCCATCTTGCCCTGTACCACCCACCCACCCATCCACGTCTTCAGCTTTCTTCTCTCCTCTTTACATTTCATTCCAATTTTTTGTGGTTCATCCTCAAACTCCTCCTTTGTGGACCCCCTCAACTCTTTTCCACTTCGTTCATAGCACTGTGCATTGTTCAGCAAACCCTGCTTCAATTCTGTTCTCTAGCTATTGCTCAGTGGAGCTAGAAATAAAACCCTGCTGATAGCGTGTTGAATTCGTGATCACAAATCTGAAGTACTTCCCTTGAGAAAATTAGAGCTCTAAGGAAAGAATTTCTACCTGTGAACATCTGTGCCCATATTTTGTGAATTTTTAGCTATTTAGTAACACATGAATTATTCTAAGTCAAAATCTCCCTAGTTATATCATTAAACTGAAGTTATTAATTTCTCTATTTCTGAGTGAATACATTTGAAAACATTTAGAAAAATTGGAAAAATGTATTTATTTGTATTCATGTTACACATACATGCATGTGTATAACAACAAATATATGTAACTAAATATAAACATATATGTGTGTATGGAGTTATATTTTTTCAGAAGACCAGGTAGACCAGTCTCAAAAGTTGTTTAATAAAGTCAAATCTAATAACCTTTTTTTGTGGGCTTTTTTTTTTTTGGTGCTGGCCTGGAGCTTGAACTCAGGGCCAATGAAAGCACTTTATAAAGTCCATCCACTTCACATCTGAAGCTCCTGTTAAATTTGTTTTTACTGATTTTTAGTAGTTGTCTCATTAATCTGTTTCTTATATTTTGTTTATTTGTTAGGCATGCAAGGCAGGATTCTCCCTATGTTTTATAAATTTTCTAGCTGTTCTGTTACTTAGATCTTGGCAATGATTCTCTAGGGCCTTTTAACCTGATCCAACCTAGACCATTAGCTCTCTGCTTTATTATGTCATTTTGATAGCAAATATCCCTCAGAAATCTCTTGGAAAAATGATGCATGCAAAATAAAGATACTGAGTTCTAGAACATCTAAAAATACTTTAAGTCTAAGCATTTATTGCTTCCAAATATACAGCTTATTTTCTGCTCAATTAACCTTAAAGATTTGTTGAATTTTCTTTCTAGTATTCTCTCTCTTCTCTCTGATCTCTTCTCTCTTTCTTGGTGGCACTTCAGCTTGAAATCAAGACTTGCCAGACAAGCACTTTATCAATTGCACCTTTCCCCCAGCCCTTTTGTTTTAGTTATTTTATTTACATACGATCTCCCACCTTTTTTATCTGAGCCAATCTCAAATCATAATGTTTCTGTCTTGGCCTCCCAAATAGCTGGAATTCCAGTATTGAACCAGGCTATCTTTCCCTCTTCCTTTTTAAATATCCTTTAACCCAACAGTTTAGGGAGAACAAAGCAACTTCTTAAAAGTCAACATTGATTGAGATACATGTATTTATAAACTGCTTTGTTAAACTACTTAAAGATTATAATAAAAAATATTAAAGTCTGCTATGTTCCCCTCTAACCTACTCCCAAATGCCTGGTAATCACAGGGTTTTGTTTTGATGATAAGAGGTCAATTTTTGAGATGTCTCATCTATATAAAATGAAATAATAATTTTTTGTGTGTCTGTTTTTTTCATTTAGAATAATATACTCTGGATCCATCTAAGTTGTTTCAAATGGAAGGATTACCTTCCTTTTTCAAAACAAATAGTTTCTTCACTATTCATCCAATGGGCACTTTAGTTATTTCATTATCATGACAATGATGAATGTACTGTAATAAATATGGGGATGCAAATAATATAATGCTACATAATTACAAAAGGATATGTAAATATACAAACAAAACACAATTTTACATATTTATACATTTATGAATTTCCTTATATGCAAGGACATTAATCTCAATGACCACATTTATTATATATTGCTAGTCTTTGAACACATTAGTTCTCGCTACTTTCTTGTGTCTTTAAGGTAGATAAATTATGTTAATTCATTCCCCCTACTCCCTCATTCTGGCACTATTGTTGATATTTGCATTGATTGACACTCCCTACTTCTTTTTTATTACTAATAATTGTGGGTTAAAATAATATATCACTTGATTGTTTAATACATCTCTCACTCTTCACTACAACTCTATTATGAAATACTTCACATAATCAGTTTTAGAGCAGGAAACTAAAACTTTAAGAGTTTAAGTTTCTAGCAGGGCATCAGTGGCTCACGCCTGTAATCCTAGCTAGTCAGGGGGCTGAGATCTGAGAATCAGGGTTCAAAGCCAGCCTGGGCAGGAAAGTCCGTGAGACTCTTATCTCCAATAAACTACCAGAAAACTGGAAGTGGTGCTGTGGCTCAAGTGGTAGAGTGCTAGCCTTGAGCTGAAGAGCTTAGGGACAGCTCCCAGGCCCATAGTTCAAACCACATGACCAACCAAAACAAAAAAAGTGTTTAAGTTTCTTGCCTCGGGTTACTCAATCAATAAAGATGAAGCTGGGATCCTATCTTAAGCCAAAATACTTGACCCTGAATGATCTCACATTTAGACCATTAAAAAAAATACAAATCTGTAAACCAAGTAGGTAAACCCATTTTCAATAGAAAAATAAATGCAGTCTTGTCCTTAAAAATCATATTTAAATTTATTTTCTGCTTCTCTGTCTTGGTCTGCACATACGTTGAGGAAATAACATTCTAGTTAGGAACCTGTGTAAATATGATATGCGTTATACCACCATGAGATGGAACCATCCTACAAATTTACCAGACAAAGCTAAAGATTGAAAGAAGGTTAGTTCCAAAAGTGAAAAGTGTCACTATGGGCAGATAGGAATGGTTTAAAATTAACTTTCCTTCTAATATTTTGCAGGACCTATTATATTTTGTTTATTTTCTATCAACTGGTTGAAATGTTATCTGTATCACTTATTCCCCTGCTCTTAGTTCTTATGGATGAGGCTTATAGCTTACTGATTTTCAGTTTCATAGAGAAGCTTCTGCAGAATTCTCAACTGCCACAAAGACTCCATGGAGAACTCAAAGAAGGGCAAGGGCAGCTCACCTCTTCACATTCTCAACCAGAAGCATTAAACAAGACAAAATGCATAAAATTTGCTAAAACCTTATATTGGCTTGGAAATTTCGATCAGTTCTGTGATCATCTTGAAGTATTCATCAGACAAATATGTCTGTATTTCCTAACTGTGTAAAATTGAGCCCTGGAAGCACAAATTTTTATCTTGAAATTTACTTTACATCTTCTGATTCTTCCCTTCCCTAGAAGAGCATTATAGTGACTAAATAACAAGTTATATTTTCCCCTTAAAGTTAGCAAAGAGCCAAGATACATCTCATGACAAATATAATTATCCTCAATTGTATATCCATTTCCACTGTTGCTGTTATATTATTTAATATTCAACTTTTGCCAGGAAAACTATATGTATCTATGCTTCTGTTATTGGACAGCAGTATATGAAATTTTCACTCTACTTATTTATTCTAATGGTGTCAATGGCATGATGATTTATAGTCTGTATTGATTATTGTTATTATCAGAACATCATTTGAAAAATGTTTTGCTGGAATATTTTCATATGCTTTGTTATTTTTGTCTTTTAGGTGTACAAGAATTTCCAGAAAATATAAAGTGCTGTAAGTGTTTGACAATAATTGAAGCCAGTGTCAATCCCATTTCCAAGTGAGTATAAAGTTTTATCTCTATATTTATTTGTATTTGGTAATATATGTAGATGTAACTAAAATGACAATTGAATTTTAGTTTAGCACTGATGTAATAGTTAATAAAATTATGAGAAAGAAATAACCAAATTAGAATTGTTTCACCAAAGATGACTAAAAACATTACTGCATAGAAAAGCAGTCCAATTGGCACAATCTAATGAAGCAAACCATGTCATCATTTTTTGTAGCTCTCAGGCAACTTTCCACAGATGAGAATTAGAACTTAGGAAATAGTTATTAGGAGCCAGGAGCCGGTGGCTCATGCCTATAATCCTAGCTACTCAGGAGGCTGAGATCTGAGGATCATGGTTCAGCCCAGGCATGAAAGTCCATGAGACTCTTACCTTCAATAAACCACTAGAAAACCGGAAGTGGTGCTGTGGCTCAAGTTGTAGAAAGCTTGCCTTGAGCAGAAGAGCTCAAGGACAGTGCCCAGGCCCAGAATTCAAGCCCCACGACTGACAAAAAGAAAAAAGAAAAAAGGAAGTAGTAGTTAGTTGTTGTCATGAAGAGAAAGTCACATCAGGACTTGGTCGGAGTTCAAGGGAGTACCAAATTTTAAGGCAGTGTTAAATTCATTAAAGGTACTCATGTAGTTCAAAGAAATTTAGTCTTATTAGAGAAAAAAAAAGTGTTCCTTTACCATAGCAAAGGCAAAAGAGATAATCCTGGGATTCTAGCAGAATGGTAGATACCAACAATAAAGATGTTAGGATTATCTAGATAATCCATTTTATGATCTGTTCATTAAGAAATCTCAGAGTCTCCAGATGACCGAGTTGGGTAATTGAATGCATAATGGAGGGACAAGATCTGTGGATCCAATGAGTCAAGAAAGCATGAAGTGAATGGATTGGATGAGTCATGAACTTTCATGATAAAGTAAAATGAAAGCAGAAATGAAATAAAGAAGATCTAGTGACAGTTGCAGTAATATTTTTAAATAGAGTTAAAACAAATGTGTGGTATTGGGAAGCAGAGATCTTGAGTCCCCTCAGGATAATGCTGAGAATAAGATCTGAGCAAATCCCTCTGGCTTGTGTCCATGTGAGGTTGAGGAGTCTGAGCAAAACCCATTGATAAGATAATAGAAGAGTGTTTTCAGAAGACACATGGAGTCTTCCAAAGGGAAGTTGAGAGGAAATTATGTATCATAGTATATGAATGAGAGACAAAAGTTTAGAAGGAGAACTTTGCAGTGACTGGTTTGTGAATCAACTTGACGCCTTTGGTAGAAAGAGAAACATCAACCAATAAAACAAAATAAATTTGAAAGTCCCATCTTTCCCACCTCAAAGTAAAATATGAGGGAGTAACAAAACAGTGAAAGTCTTTTCCCAAAACTCTTAGATCAAATGCAATTTTTTCATTGTCTCAGTGAAATAGATGCTATTGACCCCTTACACACAAATTTCAAACATGCCCTTGACGTGAGTCATACTATTTAGAGTAGATGGTGAATCTTTTCCCTTTAATTCTTTAACTCTATTAAATAATTTTATTTATAAATATGGTAGTTTATAAGGGTAGAATCCAGACTTTAAAATATACCTTCGAGTCTTTAAATTATACAGTATTATTAACTATTTCTCTGAATTCCTTTCAGAATATGTTTTTTTTAATTCTTTTTTTTAATTGTGAAAATACTGTACAGAGGGGTTATAATTACATGGGCAAGATAGTGAGTACATTTCTTATCAAGCATTGTTGCCTCCTCCTTTGTTTACCCTTCCCATCCCTTCCCATCCTCCCTCCTCCTCACCCAATCCTCCCCCCCCAAGTTGTAAAGTTTGTTTTTTTTTGTTTTTTTTTTTCTTTTTTTTAAATTTAATTTAATTTTATTTGTGAACATACTGTACAGAGGAGTTACAATTACATGGGCAGGATAATGCGTACATTTCTTACCAAGCATTGCAGCCTCCTCCTTTGTTTACCCTTCACATCCCTTCCCAGCCTCCCCCCTCCCCCCCAATCCCAATCCTTCTCCTTCCCCCCCTCCCCCCCCCCCCCGCACCGACGTTGTAAAGCTCGTTTTGGACATGACAACTTGTACTTCTCATTGTTGCAACAGGTCCACCTGTATCCTTAAACAACTGTTTTTTTCCCCATCTCCTCCACAAGTTATACTGACATCAAATATAGTGAAAGCAGGGGTTATACTGTGGAGGAGGGACATACAAAGCAACAAAGAGATAATCTTATAAATGCGTTAGAAACACATGCATGAAAGAAAAAAACATTAAAATACACATCTAACGGTTCATTTTCCTGACATCACATTATCCGACCTTTTCCGCTTGGCTCATACATATACTAGATATTACAAATAAGGGAAACCATGGGACCTATGTTTCTTTGGGCCTGGCTTACTTCACTTAATATAATTTTTTCCAAGTTTTTCCATTTCCTAACAAATGGGGCAATGTGTTCGTTTTTTGACATGACAACTTGTACTTCTCATTGTTGCAACAGGTCCACCTGTATCCTTATTTAAACGACTTGTTTTTCCTCTTCCCCTCCACAAATTATACCCACATCAAATACAGTGAAAGCATGGGTTATACTGTGGGGGAGGGACATACAAAGCAACAAAGAAATAATCTTTTTTTTTCTTTTTTTTTTCTTTTATTTGTGAACATACTGTACAGAGGGGTTACAATTGCATGGGCAGGATAATGCGTACATTTCTTACCAAGCATTGCAGCCTCCTCCAACAAAGAAATAATCTTATAATTGCATTAGAAACAAATGCATGAAAGAAAAAAAACATTTAAAATACATATCTTAGGGTTCATTTTCCTAACATCACCTTCTCTGGCCTTTTCTGCTTGACTCATACATATACTAGATATTGCAAATAAGGGAAATCATGGGACCTATGCTTCTTTGGGCTTGGCTTACTTCACTTAATATAATTTTTTCCAAGTCTTTCCATTTCCTAACAAATGGGGCAATGTCATTCTTTCTGATGGAGGCATAGAATTCCATTGTATATATACCACATTTTCTTGAGCCATTCATCTACTGAGAGGCATCTGGGTTGGTTCCAGATCTTAGCTATGGTAAATAATGCTTCAATAAACATAGTTGTGCTGGTAGCTTCAGTGTGGTCTTGTTTGTAAACATTTGGGTAAATGCCCAAAAGTGGGATTGCTGGGTCATAGGGGAGCTCTACGTGGAGTCTTTTGAGGAACCTCCATACTACTTTCCAAAGTGGTTGAACAAGTTTACACTCCCACCAACAATGAAGTAAGGTTCCCTTCTGTCCACATCCCCTCCAGCATCTGTTGTTATTAGAGTTCTTGATTTTTGCCATTCTAACTGGAGTGAGGTGGTATCTCAATGTTATTTAGATTTGCATTTCTTTTATGGCTAGGGAGGTTGAGCATTTCTTCATGTGTCTATTGGCCATCCTTCTTTCTTCTTCAGAGAAGTTTCTCTTTATGTCATTAGCCCACTTTTCTGAAAATGTTTAACATTTGAAAACTATTACTTATTTCATGAAAAAGTGCTTAATATTCCAAACATTAACCAGTTTCCAAATTTGTAAAATGTCACACTAATCTCATTAGTAGATGAATTTTTAAAGTTGGCTTAAAAGATAGACCATTTAAAATAACACACTTTGTATGTATGACTCAATGAATTTTGACAAATGTGTATAACTTAACCATCACAATAATATATAGATTATTTCAACATCTCCAAATTCCCTCAACCCAGGAATCCCTTTTTCTGACGATTAACCTCATAGTTTTGCCTTTTCCAAAATGGCAAAGAAATATCAAACTTTTTGCCTTATTCCTCTTATTTAATGTCACAATTTTAACATTTATTCACGATTTTTTCAGTAATTCATTCCTCCTATTGCTAGGAACTATTCCAGTGTACAATTATAATATGATTTGTGTATCTTACCAATTGATTCATACCAAGGTTGTTTCCCTTTTAGGACTATAATAAATACTACTATAAATTATGAAGCAGTATTTGTGTGAACATATGTTTCATTTTTATTGCTTAAATACCTAGCAGTAGTTTTCTGGCACCTGAGTGCTTAAACTTATAATAAACTCCCAAATTGCTTTCCAAGACAGCAATTTAATCATGCAATTTCAGCACTAATGTACTAGTTTCAATTGTTTCCCATCTTTGTCATCATTTGGTAATATCAGATTCATTTCTTAAATTTTAGCCAGTCTATAAGATGCAGTATTTCATTGTGGTTGTAAGTTATATTTTAAAATCTAATTAGTATTTTTCCATGTACTTATTCATAAAATATATTGTTTCTTTGGGAATGATTCAATTTTGTTTGTTTTGATGGATTTGCCTTTTTATCATTGAAGTATAAGATTTATTTTAGATGCAAGTCCTTCGGCAGACATTTGATAGAAAATATTTGCTCCAACTGTGTGGATCCAGAATCTGAGCATAGCAGAGCTGGTTTCTGAGTTTCATGGGGCTGTAATCAAGGTTTTACTTGATCTGTGATCCCATCAGATGACTCAACTACAAAAGCATCCATTTCAACCCTAGTTGTTGGCAGAGTTTGTCTCCTTATTACAAGGCTGAGATTCCTAGATTTCTACCATCACCTAAATGGCACTCTTGGGACCTTGAAGGCTATTTATAGTTTCCTGCCCTGTAATGCTTTCCACAGACAATTCAAAACATAGCAGTTTGCTTCTTCAACGGTGGTAGCTAAGTGAGACTGAGTCATCTAGTAATAGTTCTAGAAATGGGATCCCATTATGGTAGTCATGATCTATTTGTTAGCAACTACACTAGTTTAGGTTCTGATTATGAGCCTTGAGAGACTAGGATCTGGGGTCCACCTTAGGTTGTGTTTGTCACACTATGATTTGCCTCACTGAGAGTACTTATTGTCAGTGAGGATTAAATTTTGTCAAAGTTATTTTAATAACTTACTTGAATGAGTGTTTTCATCATATG